AAAACATGCTACGGAGGCCGGCCTGCATCGGCTTGCTAGGGAGGTCGGTCGCCCAAGCATTTTCCACTTTTTTAGCTTCAAAAAAGAAGTGAATTGACTTTTGCAAATGAGAAACGACAATCGCTGCATGACTTGAGTTAAAAAAAATATTGATAAAAATGTATTATATCAACTGAAATTATTATGTCTATAGTTATCCCTAATGGTGGGGAACAGGTGCAAAGGAAAAAAAATTATAAAATTTTTTTAATGAAAATAATATCTATATGTCTTACCTCTTAAATATTAGAAAAAAAATTATTCTAAAGCTATGGAGGTTTCAATAAACTCCAATTGAAATAGATTAAAATATCATATTTTTAAAGTATGAATTAAAATGTTTTTTGTCATTTCTTATAATACTTTATTGAAATAATGTAATTTTGAGATCATTTTTCTTATAATCTTTAGAAAGTAAGATGGATAAGTATTAATCCCTTTTCTATCTTCAACCTGACTAAGATGGTTATGAATTTATTGACAATTAAAGAAGATTAGCTATTATTACTTCAAAAAGTATGTCTCTTTTATGTGTAGATTTTTTATCTATAACTTTTGTATAGAGCTTAGAGACCAATGATAAAATTCTTCCAGCATAATCTACATGTCATGCAAATTAGAAGATTGGGATTCTCTAATGCTGGTAAAAAAAGAAAACCTAGTTTGGAGTAGGGTTATTGTCATACCCTAATAGTTAATGCCACACTTTTTTAATGTGATTATCTAGTATACCTTTACATTATACTTCTTTTCAAAAATCTATATTTTTTTTGTTTCTTAATAAATTAAAGGGTATATTAATCAATTAAGATAAAAAAGTATGGCATTAGTAATTGAGAGTGTGACAATAGCATCACCCCTAGTTTGGTTATTCTTTCTTAGGTATAAAATTTTTTGTGGCCTAAATTGTATAATGCAAAAAGTGGGAAAATTATGTTTTCTATACTTATAAATAGGTCATAAGTAGAATTTTGCAATTATAATCTAATTAAAATTGCCTAAATTTAGCCTTTTAGACAAAGTAGAAAATAAGGAAAGAGAAGACTCTCCTTTCTTCTCCTTTTCCTTCCATAATTTCACCATTCCTAGGCCATATTCACTCAAGAAAATGTACTTTTTTGTATTTGAAAATAGTGACTGATTTTCTGTTCATTACTATTGATTACTCACTTAGAATTCAAATAAAAAGTGAGATTTGAAAATTAACTATGAAAATTCAAAAAAAAAAAAAAGAAGGGAGTTGCCACTCATCTAAATTATAAAGTGTGATAAGTCATCTAAACATGGTCTACAAAGAGATTATAACTTAGGAATATAGTTAGAAGTCAGAGAGAGTGTATGCAGACCTAACAAACCACTATACTATAAATTTACATACTTTAAAATTGGAGTAGTGATGTATAGGATGAAAATTAGGAACCAATGATGTAGCATAAACCATGTTATTAAATAAGTTGATGCATACAATATTTTAACTTTTTAACATTTTAAATGATGTGACTTATAATTAGATAATTGATTTCAAATTTTAGTCTTGTTTATCATTATTCTTAAAAGGATTTTTTTAACATGTACCTTAAGGGCACAAGTTAAAAAACCCTTCTTAAAATTAGGATGTTAATTCAATTCATTAATTAGATTTTTTTTATTTGATTTTTTTTTTTTGTGAGTCCAATTCAGAAGAATACAGTTATGAAGTCCGTTTTCCATAGAGCTGAGCAACAAGTATGGGTATATCTAATAAGTACCCACATATCTATAGGTATTTAACTTGTTTGGATAGATATTTTATTTATAGAAAATTTAATAAGTACCCACATATCTATAGGTATTTAACTTGTTTGGATAGATATTTTATTTATAGAAAATTAAATAAGTCAAGTATGGAGGTATGAACCCTCATATTTATATACACGCACGAATCTACTTAATACATTAATGATTTCTTTTTTGCGTCTACTTGTAGAAATGAGTTCTACTTTTATCTGAGGGTGAGGAAATTCAGGTTGAATTTTGATTATAGAAACAGTTGACATATGTGAATATACTTTAGAATCTCAAATTAATATGCTTCATTAATTATGTAAAAATATCATTACAATTCACACAATTCCTTGACTACACTAGAATTTTTATAAATATAATGATCATATTCTAGTTCTATGCTTAATTTTGCAGTATATTGTATGTTTATACCTTTTTTTTGGTCAAGTAGAGAAGATTTTATGAAGTTATCTTTGTGTATTTTGTTATATTTATAAATTTGTATACATGCAAGTATATATACTAGCATACATTTTTATATGTATGAACTTGTGTTTATATCTTAACTTACGTACTTTATTATAAATATGACCTTATATATTTCTTTATCTATATGCATTGTATATGAACTATCTGTTTTTAAAAAAGTTTAATAGTATTTTAATCTATAGGAATTAGGAAAGGTTACAATATTTAATAGGTATATATCATGTCTAATGAATTGGACAACGAGTACAGATTTTTATTACTGAATAAATACAGAACATTCAAATCTCATAAATATTACTGTTTAAGTCGAGTTCAAGTATACACACCCAATAACCAACCCATACCTGTACCTGCACAACCCTAGTCTTCCAGCGATATGATCAAGCCTCGTAGGAATATGTGGACTCATTAAAAATTTGAATATACATGTCATCATTGTCATGAATCCATAATGTGTTTCAATTTATATAATAAGTGCAAACAATCCAAATGAGTTTTAAATTCAATAAATAACCAAGCATCGGCTCACAAGCAAATTCATTTTCTACCCATCAGGAATCCATGCAAATCTCGACCCATGGGTCATCTCAACATCCATTATGCTCTAAATCACCAAAGTACGTCCATTTCACTTAATTCAAACTCTATTTGTTGTTTTTTGATATCTTTGTGTATGTTTTTTTTTTTTTTTATAACCTCTCAAGCTCTAAGGTCTTTCATTCCTTTTTTTTAACGAATCTTCCGCATGACCAGAAAATGGCATGAACATTTAAAGCTAAAATCCATTAACAAGCAAATAAAATTGAAAATATCCAAACCACGAGGAGAAAACAGTTTCATTGCAACAAAATACACCCATCAGACATAAAAACGGGCACTAAATGAAAGGATTTAACACCATGAGCAAACAACACGCTATATCAGCCGCTATATGGTATGGATAACACTATAGTAACATAAACACCAAGGATTCTTCCTTTTTCAGAAAACCCATTTAAGGGCTAATGTTGATAATACTAATAATAAAGTTTAAAAAAAAAAAAAAAACGATTAGATGAAATACCAAGAGACATAACAGAAAATGCATGAACAATGAACAATAGGAGAGCATCACATGACAGCTAAAGACATCTAAACCATTTTTTATTAAAGACCAAAAGTGATGAGGAACAAGAAGAAGCTATTCAATAGTTATTTAGATTGTTTAGAATTCTTAAATAATTATATTTATTCAAGTATAGTTATCATTAGTTTTTCTACTTTTATTAGGATTAGGTCTTTTATCAAGAGTCTTTAAGTCCTAGTTAAATTAGAAATTTTAAATCTTAAGTTATAGACTAATTAGAATAGGAGTTCTAGTAAGAGCCTTAGTAGTTTCTATATAAGTATGCATGTAGTTTCTTTCATTATTAAGTTAATAATATTCAGAATTTTCCAGCAAGTTTTGCTCTTGATTGTGTGATGCAATCTTGGTTGTGTGATGCAACTAGCATTAGATGTGATGCTTAAGGGTTTTATTCTCTTTAGGTGTGATGCCTAAAGAAACCTAGGTGTGACTCCTAGGATTTTCTATCTTTCTCGTTGTTTGTTTTCTATTTCTTCCTCTTTTCTATCCTAAACAGATCCTATTTCACTGTTCACGCATACCATTCACAGTATATATTTGCCTAAACAGCCTCGAAATCCCCAAACCCACCATACCCCTAACCTGTCCTGCATCAAAAAGGATATGGAATTGAAACACCAGAACCACGCATGAACAAAGAATATGGAATTAAATAGCATACAATGTAGTCACCCGAACTCTAGTACAACTCAAATTGAAAAAGGCACTAAAAATCTAAAGTGATTAAACTTAACTAGCTCCATACTACCAAAAAAATTTAGAACAACTTGGAAGGTAGCATAAATAACAAATAGAGACTTCACACTACAGTGAAGAACAAAATGAACCTGTCAAAGCAATTTTGTAAACTATAACTGAAAGTATAGTAATGCCTAAAAAAATCAAATTAAACACTCAGAAAAGAAGAAAAAATAGATAAACCAGGGTGCAGTAAAATCAATAAAACCTCAAACCTACATAAAAATTCAGCCTTTAAGCTAACCTTGGGAGCATAGCATAACCAAATGGATAAACATACCCTAAAGCCTAAACATCAAAGAAGACATGACATGACAAAAGAAGAATCGAGAATCATAACATGGCAACCATGAATTACCTGTGTAGAGAACAAGCAGCAAAATGAAAATCATGTTTATGAATGATGGAACCAATTAACTAGAAAACACCCAAGAAATAAAGGTATAGACTTGAAAATTAAGTTTGATACAAAAAGAAAAAATGAGATGTTTAAAAGAAACATGAGAGCTAAATCTACCCAAGCACTGAATGTAACACGTGGAATTCCAACTAATAACCAAAATCATGACTACGACAATAGAGGATCTGAAGTGAATCCTTTAACAAAAAAAAAAAAAGGGACAATCATGAAACTAACAGAACACACATCATAAAAAGAAGGAAAAAATTTGAGATCATAAATTTCCTCGCAAGGAACTCATGAATTCTCAGAAAGGAGAACATGTAACAGCCGCACAAAATTAACATCTCAAATCAGGGAGGGGGACCAAGGTTGGGTCGGTCCCCAAAACTCAGTTTCTAGCTGCTTCTCAAAACACAAACGCAAACATAATGAAGAACTCCTCAACCGACAGAACACCCCGGAATAGGCCACAGAGCACAAAGCTTAAATTTACATTGTCAAGATTAGCTAAGCAACCATAAAACCAACGCTGTCAAGATGGGATATTGAAATTCAACATATGGCAAAATGAACGTGGTATCCAGAGAACGACATAAACATGCAAAAATGAAATTTTTTTGGCCAAAAACATGCAGAATGATAAACACAATTTTAAGAGGATTTCAATGAAAAGAGCACAAACACTCACACTGCAGCAACCTTATGGCTCCGCAAACAAACTAGGCCATGAAAGCTAAGCCAAAATATATTGGGTCCGGTGTCCTAGCCATTGCCTAGACTAACACTTCAACAATTTCTAAAATATAAGTGCAGGAAATTAAAAAATTGAAATGAAATGCAGCTGAATAAGAAAATTTGAAATTTTATTGAGATGGAGAACATGCTTACACTGATGAGATTAGGAGAACATGATCTTCACGTAAAGATTTTTGCCTCTAAAACCGTAGATATAATTCAGTTTTTTGTTTTTGGGTGGGTCAATAAAGATCCGGTGACCACAGGAATGAATAATCCTGGATCACCGGGAAACAGAGGTGGCCGGAAATCGGGGTTTTTTTGCTTCTAAACGGGAACTGCAAGGTTGGAAAAACCAAGGAACAGATCCAAATAGCCTAGACCCCAGCCAGCCTACGAACAAAGACCCCCAGAGTTTTATCTCTTTTTGCCCGAGGCTTACACGAGTCTTCCCTTGCACTCTTTCCGCGAAGCTTCCTCCGAATGTGCAATTGGTCAAAGAAGATGACCTGACTTAATTCCTTCAAAAAACGACGTCGTTTTAAAATTGTCTTGCTGTCTAGTCCTTATCTTTTGTTCAACTGTCGCTTTGGTCCTAGAATTGAGTGTGTTTTACATTTAAGTTCCCGCAAAGTTCTTCAATTTGGTACGAAACCATATTTAGGTCTTGTTTGGTATAGCGGTTTTGGGGTAGCGGTTAGTGGTTTTACCTAAACCGTTAAATATAGGTGTTTGATAATTTTATATATTTCAAAACCGCTACAATTAAAGTGTTTGGTAAAATTTTTATTTAGCGGTTTGAGACTAGCTGATAGCGGTTAGAATCCAAATCGTTAGCGGATTGAAAAAGCTAGTTTATATAACTTTTTGTACCAAACCGCTAGTGGATTATAATTTTTTAATTTTATTGACAAATTTATCTATTTTAATTTTTTAATTTGTGGTCACATTTTTTAATTAATAATTATTTAATAAATTTCAGTTTTGTTTTTTATCTTTAATAACATTAAGTGATTATAATATTTTTTTGTATA